GTGACAGGATATTTCCTTATCATTTCGAGCCCAGAGCTTTCCCCTGATCCACCAGCCCGTCACAAGTGTGGAGGACCTGCCGGCGGGACGCCCTCTCCTCACGGCGGCGGGGCGCCAGAGCGGACCCGCGGCGATGGCTCCTTCCCTGCTCCTGCTGCTCCTCGCCCTTCTCCCTCGGGTTTTTCCGCTGCTGGGTAAGTGCCCGCAGGGGCTCTGCAGGATGGGACGGGCCGGGGCTTTCCCCTGATCCACCAGCCCGTCACAAGTGTGGAGGACCTGCCGGCGGGACGCCCTCTCCTCACGGCGGCGGGGCGCCAGAGCGGACCCGCGGCGATGGCTCCTTCCCTGCTCCTGCTGCTCCTCGCCCTTCTCCCTCGGGTTTTTCCGCTGCTGGGTAAGTGCCCGCAGGGGCTCTGCAGGATGGGACGGGCCGGGAAAAGAGCCGGGTCGCGGCGGGTATGGGCGACGGGGGAAGGATACCCACGCAGGCGGAAGAGCCCGCGGCCGTTTTAACCCCCTCGGTGCTGCCGGAGGGGTGCCTCGATGCGGGCGGCTGAGGGGGGGCCGGAGGGGACCTCCTCGGCTGTAGCCTGAGGTGCCTGGTGGGCGAAGCTGCGGGACGAGGCAGCCTCTTGGGCGCCCATGGTGCGGGCACCAAACAGGGCGGTGCCTCAGTTTCCCCAGCCACTCTGGGGACTCAGTCCCTGTTCAATTTAACACCATCACCCAGCTTTCCCTCAGATACCTCCTCACCTCCAAGGTCTGCAGGAGGGCCTGATGTTGGTGCTTTGCCTCTCCTCCCATCCTTTGGTCTTCAGTGGGCCTGGGGACCTGCTATTTGGCGGGTGGCTTTTGTGGGGGAACAGTAAGGTAGCTGATGTATTGGCATGGATTAGAGCTGTGGAAACAGGTGGATGCTGTGTTTCTTGGTGAAACCTGGAGCTTGTACCTGCTTGCTTTGAGAATTACCGTGATTTCCAGTGCACAGCTATTTTTCAGTGAAAGGTTTGCATCTGCCCTTCCCAAAAGCCTCTCAGCATCCTCCACTCTCCAGATCGAGGTTCATGGAAGCAAGACTTCATAATACTACTTTGTAATCTTTCTTGCTTTTTCTAATTAGCAGCAATCATTTTAGGCCACCAGGTAAGCGAGAGTCTGCGTGGAGAAGACGGTCATCCTACCTGCTTGCTGCCTCACTGTGCCCCCTCTTGCTTCTGGCGTGCTCTTCTGGTGCTCTCCATTAGTGTTTAACACTGGTAGCGCTTCACTGGCTTCACAAGTTACTTCTTGATTTACACTTGCATAATCTGTGATAGTTTGCAAATGCTGCAGAGTGTGAAGCTACCTTGGCATACTGGAAACCTCTCCTGTGGAAAAGATACTTAGCCAGTCAGATTTTACAGTACTTGTCACAATTATTCCAATATAAGCTGGGGCCAGAGATAGGCAAATAGTCACAGTGTGGTGGGTGAAGAAAAATGAAAGCCTGTGAGAAAAATTCTGTTAGGATTTACTTGGGACATTGGAGAGAAAAGATGCTGGACCTCCTTGAATGGGTTGTAATGGTGAGGTAAGATGGTTCCTATGCCTGGCATGTTCCTATGCATTTTAAAGAACCTCCTTCCAGGAGTAAGTTTCAAAATATGGATTACTCTGTTAGGAATTGGTGTGGTACTTGTAATCATGCTGTGGTAGACCTTTAAGCATACCACCTACAGCTTATCTGTAGTGAAGAATGGCACCCTGTTATGGGAGCTCTGTAACAAATGTTGCTACAGAGCAGTGAAATACAGTTAATGGTTATGTAAGTAATTCTGTTCAGCACGTTTTACAGATAAAACTCATTGTGTTGACAAGAGCAGTATCAGGTTCTTAGAGAGAAGAGTTCGCAGGGCATAGAAAGTGTTGCAGAAATATCTGGCTTGTTTCATATACTTCTAGACTATCTAATAACTTACATGGAAAGTGTTGTATGGGAATCCCCTTTGGTGTCCAAGCAAGCAGAACAGACACAGAAATAAAGCTATAAACTGGAGCAATACAGGACCACGCTACAAGTCAGCTGTATGGTCACAGATAACACAGAAGCAACTCTGAGGGAAAGGAAATCCTGCAACTACAGTCTCAGCCACACTTGCTCCTGCATCGTTCTACCTCCTGTTCTGTCCTCCTGTTTTGGTGCCAACTTATTTTTAATGCCTGTTTGGCTGTGTTGGGCCTTTAGCTGCTTACCTATGTATTATGCCCTGGCAGAGCCCTGCATGTGCTGAGGCCCTTGTAAATGCAACACAGCTGCTTATACACACTGCTAAGGCTTTAAGGCTTTGTAAAGTTGTAGTCAGAATAGCAGAGGGCCAAAGATTTGTCTCTCTCTCTTTTTTTTTTTATTTTATTTTTTTTTTTTTTTCCCCACCCCCCTGTCCAGACCTCTTTGTTCAGCTTTCTAACCTTCTTTCTGAAACTTCTCACCCTTTCAGGCTTGGGTGCAGCAATCCAGGCTTTTGACTTTGGGGTACCTTTTTTACATGCATAACATCCTCTCTTTAACACCATATGCTGCATGAAATAAGGAAAGTTATTTTAGGCCACAAATACAATTTTAGCAGCTTGAAAGATCAGACAGTGTTTTCCACATGTGAAAATGTCTGACATCTCTTTTACCCAGAAACTTTAAATAAGATTTCAGGAAAAGGAAAGTTGCAAGCATTGCATATATCAGTTTACAATAGCATTGTGCTAAATGGTTGTAGAAAAGCAGAATAAAAAAGTTATCACCAGCAGTGATAATTATACATTTCCTTGTATTGTCTGTGAGTAACACAGATCAACAAAAGCCAACAATTTCTGTCTCCAGTGCTCATCAGTTTTACGCTACTTCCCAGGGAGCTGGAAGCCAAAGGACAGGAGAGGGAAACTGAGTTGTGGATGAGATACGTCTAGGTCAGCTCTTTCTCTGAGAGAGAGGTTGTTTGTTCCCAGGTTGTTCTTCTGCAAAACAGTATGATCATTTCCACATTGGAGCCACAAGAGAGAAGGGAAAATTTTCTGTGGTTAACCTGTTTTCTCCTTATATATTTCTCCATGATAGCATTTGTTTAATTTGGTAATCATACCCTAAAATAAATAAAGTTTTAATTAGCTTCAATCCCCAGAGTCACATAAATTAGTATTTCTCTTTCCTAGCTTGTAGTCCAGTTAAAATATAGCTTTAAGGCTTTGTGCATCCTCTTACGTGATGTGATCCAATATCAGAGAGAGCTATTAAGTTATTGTGCTAAAATGTATCTCAAGGGGATCAGAGAGGAGAAATTTTCAGTTTTTGGGCAAGACCAGCTCAGAAATGTTGCACTCCATAGCACATCCAAGTGTAGGAGACGCCAAAATCTTTTCTAGTGGTTACAATTTTGAAATAAACCTTGAATACATGAAAATGCGTGGTGTGAGGCACTATTTACTAAGAGGGATAAATAACTTTGGGAGCTGTGAAGAGCCTTGTAGATTTTCGGAAGTTGTTGAGAAGCATACCTGGTGATGGCAAATTGCACTGTTGTCAGTGTTTCATTCATAATGGAGAAGGGTAAGAAAGGAGAAAGAAATCACTGATTACTGCACTTGAGTGAAAAATGAATATGCTGTTCTAGCCCTACAAGTAGCTTGTGAATAAAGCTTAAAGAAATATCCTTCCCCTCAGTTAAGACTTGAAGGATTTTAGCAGAGCTTATGGGAACAGAACTCCTCACTGTGGGGCAGTGGATCCTGAATAACTTAGCGGCTGTTGTCAACTCCTCACACCTGGGAGCCAGGATCAAGGAGCCAGTGCTGCTGGAGTGCTCAGCGTCGGGATCCACAGTGTATGGTGTGCGTGCTCCCTTGCTTCAGTGACTCCCATGGGTGCAGCTTGGAGTAATACCATGTGTGGTTTTTTTCAGTTTAACCCATGCTTTAAAGCTTCCAGGAGGCACCAGATCTGCACCTCTGCTGTCTTGCACTTTTGAGTGTAGATGCTTTCACTGACGCAAAATAGCTGAAACATCCTCACATCTGAACTAGTTGCATTCTAGTCCCTTTGACAGGTGTAGGCCACAGGAGTACTGCACCTTCTTTTGCTGAACAGATGATGAGATTTTTAACCCCAGATTCATATTTCATTTACATAGTAGGTAAAATTGTTTCAAACCAAATGATTCCAGTTTTTTTTTTATCTTACAGATACTAGTATCTTCTTAATATATAATGAAGATCACAAGCGCTGTGTACTGGCTCAAAGTTCTAATTCAGTGACTACTGCTCCTTGCGTTCAAGAAAATGAGTCACAAAAATTCAGGTGGGTCTCAGATCACCAGCTTATGAGCATAGCATTCAAATTGTGCTTGGGAGTGCCTTCGAAGAAAGACTGGGTTCCGATCACTCTGTATCCTTGTGACAAGGCTAGTGAACTTCAGCGATGGGAATGCAGAAATGAGACTCTCTTTGCAATCCAAGGGGAAGATTTGTTTTTCAACTATGGAAACAAACAGGAAAGGAATATTATGCTGTACAAGGGATCTGGTTTATGGAGTAGGTGGAAAGTCTACGGAACCACAGACGATCTGTGTTCTCGAGGCTATGAAGGTAAAGTTCTGTAAATTAACTTCTGTATTTCAAACTACTTTCTATGTGTATCTAATTACAATATCTAGAAGTGTAGGAGAATTTCCTTCATCTCATTAATGATCAGTGAATGTGACTTCTGGTGAAATGAGGAATACTTGCATGTGTGTTTTATGTTTTTTGACAGGTTCATTTTGTTTTTTTTGTCAAAGTTGTCAAAGTTCTGATAGATAATTAACCCTACATGGTAGTGATTCATTTGGAGAGGGGGAAAAAAAGTCCATGGTTATTCAGAACATGTGTATAACACAATAGTTAATGATAGCTTTTACTGTTTATATGTGTACAGAAAGATGTGTATAGTCTTGTTTATGTTTGGTTTTTTTTTTTCCCCTTGGGAAAAAAATGTTAGTTATGCTGTAAGTATTTAGTTAACTCTGGATATCTTCATCTCCAGTATATTGAAGATCCCTTCCTAGGTGTTTGAAGTGGATCTCAGAGTTGGTGCTGAAGTGTTAGATAATGAAATAAGATATTTTAAATAGTTAAATTTGAAAAAACTTATGCATGATACATACATACATATTTACATGTATTTATTATAAGTATCTGGAAATATGTTTGGGTTCACATTTAGTATTGTTTGATAACAGAAAAGTTAACAGAGGGAGGTATGGATGCATTTTCTGTGGTTTATACAATGGCAGATTACAATACTAGTCCTTGGTCTAAAAGCAGAATACAAGAACCCTAGCAAAGCAAATTATGTGAAAGGAGGCAGGAGGGAGGTGGAGTGAGGGCCTGCCACTCCTTCCTTGTTTGTTTTCTAGTAGCTCTGTGAGACAGCGGCCTTGGTATGTCACCTCTCTAGCAGTCCTTGTCAAGTAGTGTTACCCTGTATGTCCTCCCGTCAATGCGTGTACATTATACGTGCACACAAAGAAGACTGCTTGAAAAGTTTCAGTGAGTCAGGTTTCTGATGAAAAACAAAAATTATCTTTGACAATGGAAGTTTTATTTGGGCGTAGTACATTGGAGTCACTCTGTGGTATACATCTTTCAAATTTATATGTATGTGCTCTTCTCTGTCTAAAATGGTCAGCAATTGAGTGGGTTATTGACAGAAGAATTGGCAGTCATTTGTGTTTAAAAACAAAATTACTTAGCTATGTGGACTTTATACTTTTGATTGTTATGCATGTAAAGTTTAGCATGGGAATGTACTTGTCTTGGCTCAGTCAGTTCTGGTTAGTGGTCTCCTTAAGCAATAAAAATTTGTCTCATTGTGGACATGGGTATCAGCTTAGACCTAGGGAGTAAAGTTATCCATGTCCCATTTCTAGTACAATTTGTTTAGTTGTATACAAATATATATAATACTAATATATAATATACTATAGCAAGCTCTCCTTCTTATATGATGCTATAATATGATCATAAAGCTGGACTGATATATACCTGTGCTTATTACTGCTTATACATTTTTACATTGTTGTGTCTCCTTAGATACCTACACAGTGAAAGGAAATGCCAATGGAGCACCTTGTGTCTTCCCTTTTAAGTTTGGTGGTAAATGGTATGCTGACTGCACAGATGCTGGCAGATCAGATGGCTGGTTCTGGTGTGGAACCACTTCAGACTTTGATGTTGACAAGATGTATGGATTTTGCCCATTGAAATGTGAGTTTTCTTTGTTCATTACTCTGCTGTGCTGTTATTCAGCTGCCTGGAAATATTGATGTCCTTGTCATGTGCTTTACTGTACAGAATACAGTTTGAAATGGTGCATTTTTCTGTCTCCATTCAGTATGCTATCCTTTTAGGAACTGTTTAAATATGCAAATATAGGGCTCAGCATAAAATAAAAATATTTATCAACTACATCCAGGTGAAAGTGTGTTAATCATATGCTGTAATCTGTAATTATATCATTTACTTAAATGGAAGGTTAATTAGATGTTAAGATGTTACATTAGTATATGCAAAAGGCCGTGTAGAAATTTGTGGAGCAGAATTGGAAGCTGGAATGTGGCTTAATTGAAAATTGAGACTACTTTGTAGAGTGAGTTGCATTTTAAACATGAAGGAGCTTACATTAACTTTTTACTAAATCCCAGTATTTCCCAAATCTGTGTGCTATGTTGTAGTTCTGTATTTAAAACCAATGAGAAATATTTATATTCTAAATTCCCTGGTTTGAGTATAGTTGAGAGTTTCAACTGCAGTGTTATGAATGTACAGAACTTTATTTAGAAATGTTGATATTACTTCAAGTAAATTGGAGTAATAGGCCTGTATGTATTTGAATTATTTTAAATTTGAATAAAGTTTCTCTGAACTTCTGTAAATATGTGCTAAGCATTTTGTCTGCAAGCTGCTGCTGCTTTTGTCATGCTGAGAGGTAGCACTTCTCCCTCCCATCTTCTTTATTATTGTGTTTTGCTGTAGAGCTCTGGCTGACCACAGTCAGAGCTAAGGAGAAAAATATGTCTTTCCTTTGATGTGAAGAAAACAGTTTGGGTTGATCTTAACTGGTTTGATGATGAAGTATCAGCGTCCTTGCCTGATTTCCATGAAAGTTGCATTCATTGTTTATGACAAATAAAAATTGCCTTTTTTGTTTTCCTATGCCAGTATTATTTTCAAGATATTAAAAACATGTTGGAAATATCAATCCCATTAATACAGCACATGCAAGATCAACTTAAGAATGCTACCTGTCAAGCATTCCTTGAGTGTAGCAAATAGGAGGCATCATTAAAATTTTGTTTAATTCTTTGGCATAATTCAAGGAAATCCATTCAGATGGCTGTGATGGTTTTTGGAAAAAGCTGCTTTATGCTGATTGCCTGCATGTTTCCTTCCTGATTCTCCAGTACTGGCTATAAAATATTCAAGTTTGGGTCATATATTTTAATGAGACAGGCTGTGGTAGCAGAAGTTTTAGTCAGCCCTATGAAAGAGGAATGCACTGCATGAGAGACCAATAAGTGAATAAACTTCAACAGCTCCTTTAAACACAGAATGCTTGTCTTTGTATGTTAACATTTATTAAATAAAGATTAAATAAAGATTGGGGGAGCAAAGGTGCCAATATGAAAATATCAGATACGAACTGTTACAGTTGTTTGTGCTGGGGCCTGGATGGACATACAGTGAAATCATCATGATTGAATCAGTCACATTTTCATCATTGTGAGCAAAACCGGCTCAAATGTTCTCCAAAGCGAAGAGGGCATAAGCGTATAGTTCATAAGAACAGTACATAAGCATACAGTTCTTATACTGATAGAGGTGTAGAAAATTGACCAGTAACATAATTGTGAGTACGACCCTTTATTTGCTGTGTTAAAAAGAGATGCTGATACAGTGACAGTAGAAATTTAAATCCCACAGGAAGAAAGTGAGAAGTGTTGCTACATCAGACAATTTTCAGTAGACTAGGAAATACTGGTTCTTTACAGGGTTACACTGTGTGTTTTTGAGCTGTATGTTGCACTGCAATATAAAAGTAGGCTTTGGGGAAGAAAACAGGTTACACAGTGTAAGACCATCAGGAGAGTGAGTCATCAGGTGTGCCCAAAGCTGTATTCAATTGGACAAAATCCATTGAGGCCCCTTCCTTGACAGATGAAAGGGCTAGAATTTCTGTGAAGAATTTAGAAAGCCTTGTAAGGGATGCATAAAAGTTGCAGCTGACTAGGAAGGAAACAAAAAGTGCAGAGAATGAGAAAATATTTAAATAGTCTTAGCCTGGTATGTTAATTACTGGGTAAATAATAAAAAAGACATGGACCTGTTGGAGAGAGTCCAGAGGAGAGCCACAAAATTAATCAGAGGGCTGGAGCACCTCCCCTGAAAGTGAAAGTGTTGGGGTTGTTCAGCCTGGAGAAGAGAACGCTCCGAGGAGCAGCCTGCCAGTACCTGAAGGGGGCTACAGGAGAGATGGGGAGGCACTCTTTATCAGGGAGTGCAGTGAGAGGACAAGGGGTAATGGGTATAAGCTAAAAGAGGGTAAATTTAGACTAGACATTAGGAAGAAATTTTTCACTGTGAGAGTGGTGAGGCACTGGAACAGGTTGCCCAGGGAAGCTGTGGATGCCCCATCCCTGGAGGTGTTCAAGGCCAGGCTGGATGAGGCTTTGAGCAACCTGGGCTAGAGGAAGGGGTTCCTGCCCATGGCGGGGGGGTTGGAACTCAATGATCTTTAAGGTCCTTTCCAACCCAGACCATTCTATGATTCTATGAAATCTACATCCTTGTATTCATTCACAAATACTGAATTTATTTTTTTTTGTGCCAGGCTTTTCCATCATGCTGGTGTTTAAAGGTATTTTGAAGAGTTTTTCATTGTGGTTTTGTATCTGGTTCAAAATTCCTGGTGAATTGGTCAAGTCAGTTACATGGGGTTAATTGTGTTATTTCTTCTGGTTTATCTGGAACTCATAACCTGACTTTGGACCTCACAAATTTATCTAGGAAAAAGAAAGAGATGAGCCATTTAGGAAAAAATACCTTAGTGAAGATAAGCATGTGAAGGAAGTTTAGTATAATTTAGACTTTTTTGTTATTGACAGCATTATATCTTTATGTACTATATTATAAATTCACATAAACTGTAATGTCTTATTATGAGATTCCTTCCCTACTGTATACTCAGAGAGGAAGCTACAGCAGTTATTTTAGAGACTGTCTAACAAGATTTGTATTCAAGGTTTTCTTTTCCCGTGATTCTATTAATGCAGTTTACAAGGATGTTGGACTGAGACTCCAACTTGCTTTGGATGGATAACTAAACAAACGAAAACACTTTATTGTTACTCCTAGTCAAAGGTCAGATTTCGTCTTGCAATTTCAAAACTAAAATTTGTCAAGATTCTTCCATTTCCTAATTCAGGAGAAATACTATATTTTGATAAGATAATAATGTTGACATTTTTAAAATGATACATGTTATAAATGTCTGCATTGTCAGGACTTTATGCCTTTCCTGTAAGCTTGAACTTGTTTGTCAAACACTGTACCTGAAATTCAATGCATTTTTAGTCTGCTTTGCTGTGCTTTAAAGACTGAGAACTTTCAGAGACATGAGTGAAGTCTTCTGATACTATACTGTACTTCTGGGATTTTGATAGTAATCATAGTGGAAATAGCTAGTTCTCACTAATTTTGGTGTATACAAAAAAATGCATGCAGAGTTCATCTCTGTAGCGAGAAAGTTCAGCATGTACTAAGGACAGATATCGTTTAACATTAATTTAGTTTAGATACTAAAATATATCATTCCAGAAAAGTGATTAATCTTCTGGTTTCTCTGGGGATACTAAACTTTAAACAATAGCATAGAGATTTTCCAAAATCCTGCTCTGTCAAGGCATTTGACTTCATAGAACTAAAATATCTTAAAAATAAATTTTCCAAGGTTCAGAAATAAACTTTATTTTTATGAAAGACCAAACTTCTACAGGAGAGCACCATATGCAAGTCGGCTATAAATTATGAGACTGGGGGAGTGTGGTGGAAGGTTGGATGAACACCTGGACTTGTTTACCTCTTCCTCTGTAATAATTACGAGATTTATCAAACCTTTTCTATAAGTCATATCCAGTTTACTTTACTGAATAACAGTTTTTACTATTTTTGCAATCTCCATTTTATCCTAGGCTTGTGCTTATGCACAGGAATTCATGGTCTCGTAGAACATAGCATAGCAAAGAAATCTTGCCTTCTGAGAGTCATAAAATGTTTTGGATGGAAGTTGATTTGTGGATAATGATAATGGGATGAAAATTCCCATTTTTTGTCAAATGTAATTATTACAGTAGGTTGTAAGTGTTTTTTTCATAAGGATAATTTGAAAAGAAGCACTTCATATTATCTATAGACTATCAGATTTAATACAGGAAAAAGTGTAACTGGTTACTGACCTGCTGATATTTGAAATGTATCATCATTTGTCTTGAGTTTTGTTTATTATCCTGTTTTCCTCTTATTTGCACACAACTTTTCTGAGCTTTCTGAATTCAGAAAAGGAAAAGTTGTCTTTCTCTCAAATTTTTTACAGCTTGCAACTTGAGAAACTCTGATACAGGCTGCAGGAATTTCAGTCATTTTCCTGTTATCAGCAGACGCACAGTGACCTCTGCTATATTCTGCTTTTGTCATGCAACTTTCATCTCTTTATGTGATATCTAGCTCAGTGTTGGGGCACCCTGTAGGTTCTATTTTTGGCAGAGCAAGATCATGCAATTTTCTGTTGCTTGTTGTGGGGATTCAGTTGAGACAAGCCAGGAGAGACCACAGCAGTGTAAGGAGTGTGGTACCTTCTGGGGTCTCTTCTAATGTTGGGCCCTGCTGGATGACATTTTCACTGGTTTGGCATTGCCCAAATGTGCCAAGTTCAGGTACTCAAGGAGAGGACAGTCAGGTCACGTGGTTGAGATGAAAGTGATGGTACGTCAGTGATGTGCATAAGACAAAGCAGGAATTGCAGGAAAGTGGGAGATGGATGCTGATAATGTAAGTTTTACATTCAGTGCTTGGGTCTGATTGCCTCCATCACTGTAAGAAAATCCATAACCACTTTACACAGTACCCCAAATTAGTAAGAAAATTAGGGTTTCTTATCTCAGAAGAGTGGTCAGCTTGATACACACCTTAGCTAGCATGAGTCTGTAAGTTTTAAATTTTTTTTTCCACAACGGCAAATCAACTCTTTTAGGATGACTTTAGCCACTCATCTTCTACCTTAAACAGCAGCTTTGTTATACCAGAGGAAATGGTGACCTTGTTTCATTACCTGTGTACTGCCCAACATGGCTGTATCATGGTCTAGCTCTGCCCCTAACACATTAGAGAGCCTCAGGACTCCTTTCAAACCAGTTGCTTATAGCAGTGTTTAGGTTTTGTGTATTTTTGCTACACAATTTATATTTTATCTGGCTCCATCTTCATGATCAGTTACAGTATTTCTTTTTCTCCCTACAGTTAATAGTATTGATTTGTTGTGGAATACAGATCCTTTAACAAATGTCCAGTACCAGATAAACTCTGAGGCAGCTCTGACGTGGCACCAGGCAAGAAAAAGCTGTCAACAACAGAAGGCAGAGTTATTAAGCATCACAGAGTTGCATGAACAAACATATCTGACAGGTAGGATAGTATTATCCATCAGATTTTTTTTTTTAAAGTGTACTATTGTAACACTGACACTTATATAGCATGTTCCATCTTGAAAATTTGTATTTGTTCAGTTCTGGTAATTAGTAGATTTAAATTGTTGTCTTGAATGATTCATCTGTAAAAATTGGACAGATAATGATTATTTTATCCTGTTTAAAGATTACCATAAACTTACAGTAACATAAAAAATGCAGCAATGAAGTAATGCAAGCAATGAAGAATGAATGTTGGAATGCAGGAAAACGCAAAATAGTTTGCAAACCAAAATAGTCCACTAATTAATTTATTAAATATATTAAACATATTCTGAATATGTTGCATCAGTTGAAATATAAACTATTTTATGCCATAAGCTATATGTTTTACTACGTAAGCTCATAGAATCTGAGAATTAGAGAATGGTTTGGGTTGGGAGGGATATTTAAAGATTATCTAGTTTGCCCCTCCCTGCCATGGGCACTAGATCAAAGGCTCAAAGCCCCATCCAACCTGAACTTGAACACTTCTATGAGGGGAATCCACAACTTCCTTGGGCAGCCTGTTCCAGTGTCTCACCACCCTCATCATAAAAAAATTTCTTCATTATGTCCAATCTAAATCTACCCTCTTTCATTTTAAAACCATTGCCCCTTTCTTTCACCATCTTTCTTATAAGCCCCCTTTTATATATTGAAAGGCTGTGATAAGGTGTCCCCGGCGCATTCTCTTCTCCAGGTTGAACAAGCCCAACTCTCTCAGCCATTCTTCGTGGGAGGGATGTTCCAGCCTTTTGATTAATTTTTGTGCCCTCCTCTGGACCTGCTCTAACAGGTCCATGTCTTTCTTGTACTGGGGACCTGAGAACTGGATGCAGTATGCCAGGTGGGGTCTCACCAGAGTGGACTAGAGGGGGAGGATCGCCTCCTTTGACCAGCTGGTCACACTTCTTTTGATGCATCCCAGGACACAGTTGGCTTTCTGGGCTGCAGGCATGCATTGCTGGGTCATCTCCAGCTTTACAGCCACCAGTACCCCCAAGTCCTTCTCCTCAGGGCTGCTCTCAATCCATTCATCCCCCAGTTTGTACTGATACTGGGGATTGCCTTGACCCTGGTGCAGGGCCTTGCACTTGGCCTTGTTGAACATCGTGAGGTTCACTTGGGCCCCCTGCTCAAGTCTGTCAAAGATGCTCTGGATGCCACCCCTTCCCTCAAGCGAACCAACCACACCACTCAGCTCAGTGTGATCTGCAGAATTCCTGAGGGTGCACTCAATCCCACTGTCCATGTCATTGTTGAAGATATTTAATAGTATTGGTCCCAATGGAGACCTTAAAGGGACAGCACTTGTTGGTTTCCATTTGGACATTGAGCTGTTGACTGAAACTCTTTGGATGAAGACATCCAGCCAATTCTTCACCCATCTAATAATCCATCCATCAAATCCATATTCAACTTCGAGGAACAATAAATATATTTTTAATGCTATGAACAGTCTTTTCTGTCTAAACTTTTGTTTTCAATTTAAGATTTGGTCAAAACAATTTTTTTAACTGAATGTTAATTATTGTTGAAATTAATGCTCAAGGGAGCAATCTGAGGCTAACATATAGGATTGAGTTATTAGTAGGTGTGTTTAATTGCAAACTAGTAGATATGTCTGCAAAATGTATGTGAAAATCAGTTTTTTGTTCTACAGCTACCTTGGCATTGCCAGGATTTCTTGTCATGCTCAGTTCTTGATTGTCTTAACCACAATTTGTTTGTGCAGAAGAAGTATTGGAACACATTAATGTGTTGGTGCCAAATCAAGTTCTGGTATGATGTTCCAGTCTTTTCCAGTGCTTAACTGCCCCTCCTTTTAACCTTCAAGTGCTGCCCATAATCATGATGTCAAAGACAACTGAAATATATAGAGCAAAATTGCATACTGGCATGATGCCATCAGTAGAAGCAGAAATAAATAATATATATCGCACAATTATTTTCTGTGAGCTATGCAGAATTACCTTTAGTTCAAAAAATCAGCAGTCATCCAGCTAGGCTTCCAGGTCTTACACAAAAGGCAGAGATTCAGACAATTAATAATGCTAGAGGATTCAGAAAAAAGCATGATATTTCTAGGTGCTTTTCAGAACTAGAGCAGTAAGTTGGAACTGATTTTGGAAGCCTGACTTATCATTGGCTAAAGAATTGAAATCAGATGAATCTGAAAAATGTGCAAGATGTGCTGTTAAAAAGATGATGTTTGGAATGATCGCATGTAAATATAGTTTGATAAAATGTGAACAGTTTCTTTACAATATTTTGTAAATTTCAAACTCACGCTTGTTAATTTTATTGGAAGAGAAAATACACAATAGGAAACTATTCCCATTTCATTTTAGAAAACTGATTTTTGGTTTTGTGACTTTTTGTGCATTTTATCAATTTAATATTTTATAATTCTGGAAAAAAATATTTGTTTCTTGTTTATGATCATTGGTTTACAAAGAGCATGCAGAAGTGTGATTTTGTTTTGTATTGTAATAAAATTCTCCACACCTAAAAATGTGAAAATTCTAAAACTTAAGTGACCCACGTAAGATGATGTATTGCACGTTTAGCATAGCCACCTTAACTAAAAGGTTGAAAGTTGTTAAAACTTGTACTGTGAAAAAGGAGAAGTTGATGATTTAACTAGAATTCAGCTCTCAAGTTGTGAGACAGTGTTTGCTCTTGCACTTCCAGTATCTCTCTCTGTCTCTGTTTCCTAGGTTTGACTGGAAGACTGAGTTCTGCTCTCTGGTTTGGTCTTAACAGTTTGAATTTCAACAGCGGATGGCAATGGGTTGGTGGTGCTCCTTTTCGATACTTAAATTGGGTTCCAGGTAAGGTTAAATATGTTGCTACTCAGTTTAAAGGGCAAAAATTTGTTCATCATGTAACCTATTTATTTTCTAGTACTCTGTTCTCCTGCAATTATTTAGCTTGTTTTATTGTTGAAAGATTCTGACTGTGGTTATAAACGCTGTGAGTAACAGCCCTTGTGCTAGGGATACACGCTGGGCTTAATTTATTTTTAATGATGGAAATGGTAACCTCAAAATCCAGAGGAAAGTTTTAAAAGTAACCTATTTACACTTCATTGTTATATCTCCTTAATTTACTTTATTTCTGTAGGAACACAGAATAAATCTGATGCTATAGGTTCTTCATTTGTGAGATTAGACTGATCAGTGTATGGCTTGTTTGTTTGTTTGTTTGTTTTTTTAAATTCCTTTCCTTTCCAATTTGTTTTGGTTATTTGCTTAAAGATCAGATTTTAATTTGGGATTAACCTACCCCTGGCATTAGCACGTGTCACACTGAATATGTTAGGCTAGTCTACTTTGAAGGAAACCCAGATATTTCACAGCTGTAGTCGCAATGTTGAACCCTGGTGCTGTTATTAAAAAGCTAGTCTCTATGCCGTCTGTATATGTGGTAAAGAAGAGGTGCTTTTCTGGTTTACTATTCAGAGTGCTTATATTAAGGTGTCTTTTTGCAAGACCCATGTTCTCTTGCACTGGCTATTCAGGAAACCTTTGGAGAATAATTTAAAGTAGATGTCTGAAGTTATGCAGTGTAAATACTCTTCTTTACCTTCATTGAGCATGTCACATGTATTTAATCTGCAGTAACTATAAATGCACGCTCCATCGTATCACCCAGTGGCTTCCTTGCGTAGATAAGGCCAAAAGCACATTTTAGGTGGACAAACTTCTTGAGTGGGTAAACTTTGAAGAGTGAATTGAACTACTTTATAAATAACTCTCCAATGGAGAGAGCACACAAGGCAAACAGATGGGCTGAACTGCAAGTTGCTGTGAAGGTATTTATAGGTCTGTCATCCAAGTGCACTGATGGCAATCTGCATGTAATGGAGAGTGGGGGAAAACTGTGTGGTGGAGCCAAACAGCAAGGGGAGCTGTTCATGGTTGTTAAAACTGCAGACAACTCTCAGTTGTCCTGTGAAGCGTTAGATGGCTTTTGGTGTAACCAAAATTGGCTACAGTTATCTTTAACTCCTTATGTTTTTTAATTTAATTTAAAGATAATATTCTTAACTCCATATAACCTATTTCATATTTGTGCTATCTCCTTTGTGACTTTAGTTTGGTCAGCCTGCCTCTGTCTCATCCCCATTACCCTGGATGTTCAAGAGTTGGCTGTTCTTCCACTAGTATATTTTAAAAGAATTTGTGGCAGTGTCATATTCTTACATCTCGCTTGCCCTAAATAAATAACACAAGAACATGGGAACTAAGTTATCAACATTTAAACTCAAATTAGGCTGGTGAGGCATTTGGGAGAGCTAACTGCTAACAGCTGAACTTTTTTTGTGCATTAAAACAATTTAAATTTGTGTTTTTGAAGTAAGCATATATTTTTTTCTACTATTGGAAAAAGATATAACTTGACTGCAACTGTAAGACTAACGGTAATCTAAGGTAATGAAATCATAAGGATATAAGAAATTTTTAGTGAACGATTTTGCACACTGAGAAATAGGTTTGCTGTGTTTATTGCTGAGCACTGCTGACACTTGCTCGTTATGTAGTATAGTGGCATGTGTTCAGAAATGAAAGAAAATTCGTTAAGTTTAATCACATCAGACCAGATCTTGAAAAGTTCATCTGGTTTATTGCGGAAATTTGTTCTGTTCTACATGTTCTATTTTTCTTCTAGATGTTTCTATTAGTGCTAATACTAATCTGCAACAGAAAATATCCAAATATCCTACCATTGTTGTATTGTTTAGATAAGTGGACAAGAAGTTCACATTAGCAAAATAATTACTTATTATTTTTCTGTCTTTACTGTTATACTAAGTAGAGAATTTAACTAGCTTACTGAACAGCTTTTTCAGCTAAAGATTGTGTGCTGGAGTTTAGACATTCTTTGTTTAGAAAGGGAAATAACCCAAACAAAATAAATAGGTGCACTGTAATACCTTCCATCAAGACTTTGAACCTGTGAAGAGGCTGTTAAATTGTGAACTGGATAAATATCTCAACTTGTGATTGTTGTGAAAAAGTACCTCTTAAGGGTATGAACTGCCCTGTTCAGTCTAAGGGACTGTGGACAATCACAATTGTCTATATGTTAATGTATCTTATAGTTAAAGCATGGAACAGATTAGAATGTGAAAGTAATTGAGAGAGTAACCATGATGTGCTTACACTTTGTTGTTGCTGTTGAGGTTTGTTTTGTTTTGTTTGGTTTTTTAAAGGACATCCTTCTCCAGAACCTGGAAAAATCTGTGCAGCATTAAATCCTGGGAAAGGTGCTAAGTGGGAGAATTGGGAATGCAGTCAGAAACTTGGCTATGTTTGTAAAAGAGGAAATGCTACCTTAGAATCTTTCATTATTCCTACAGGTAGGTTTGGTAATAAACCCTCACCAAATTATTAATGAACAGTGTTTTTTATCTGTAATTCTAACAGGTGTTTGTTTTATTGCACATGGTAAAACCAAGCAAAGGTCTCCGCAATCTCTGGCTTGACCAAGATTCCCAGTAAAAGTGAACAGTGTGTACTTCCTTTTTGTTCTGGCCTCCCTACTTCCTGTGTAGTAATCTTTCTTTAGTAGCTTAGAGTTCTAAATTGCAGAAATGGTGGAGTTCTCTTTTCCAAAACCAAGCAGAACTGTCAGATTTTGTTCATAAAATAAAAAGAGAAATAATATGTTTTAAGAAAAGATGTAATTGTCTAAAGCCCCATGTACTCAGTGAAACCAATCTATTTCTTCTTGCTGTCGTTTTTACTGCCTATGAAACAGAGTAAGTTTGCCAGTGCAAGTTGGTAGTGGACTAGAGGAATTCTTTAAAATTGTTTTGAGAGAGTTCAATAATGGTTACATATCCATATATTTTACAAATGGGTATATATTTATATATAGATATAAAAATTATTTATACATATAAAATTATTTA